TCTTTATGATTTATATATGTAAATTTTGAAGCAATTTTTCAAGAAAAAAAAATCAAAGCAACTATTAATCTAAACAATAAAAAAATATAACATCCAATGTACTATAACATTTATACAATGAGAAAAGGGTACACGTGTCATTTTAATATAGCATATCCGCATGCTGCACCAATTGTTTTATATTTTATGGTGATTTAGTATCTCCAAGTCTGATTTGGACGCATTAGCAAAAGCTCCAACAAAGAAATATGAAGAATAAGTGCTACGGCAGAACAGAAATAAGGAAACAGGATGTAATATAACTATGCATTACATGGAATTAACTATGCACACGATACATATTTATATGAGAGGCGACATACTGGTATCATAACACTTACGTATAACCTCGCTTCATGATAAATGAGGGGCTCCAGCTCAACCTAGCCCCAATTTTGTACTTAATTAGTTAATTATATAAATATATATAGGTTTATAAAAATTGATGTTTAACCCAACCCAAAAAAAAACTCAATTTAGTGAAAACTCTTAAAGATTAATTTAAAATTTAATTCATAATTTTAGTCGTATAATTTTTAATATGTAGTACATAATAATTTCATATGCAATTGAAGATTAGAGAATAATTTCATCTATAAAAATTAAATTTAACATGTTAATGATAATATATATTGATGTTCTAAAAGGCGCTAAAAACCAAAAAAAAAGGCGCTAAACACTTGTTGGGCATCACCCATTGCTTAGCGACTGAGCGGTTAGGCGAACGCCTAGACGAGGACTAGTCGGGGAAAAAAGATAATATTTTTTTCTTAATATTTTTGGTATAAATATGATAAGTAATATTGTACTTGTGTGTATAAAAAATACACACACATTACACATTAACATCCATGAGCAATACAGTTATCACATTTAAAAATATACTACGTATTATAATTGTTCGCTTAACTTCTTATGTAAAAAAATTAAATAATACTCTATAATAACATTTAAGAATATATACGAATACATATGGTTTTTATCTTAATAGCTTTCTGCATATGTGTCATTAAAGTTAACAATACATGTATATCTTAGCAAATTACAATAAAACCAAAAGTAATGCACTGCTTGACGAATCCAGATGCTATAGGCAGTCGATTAAGTGCTCTAGGCAGGTAGCTTGGTGCCCTAGGCGGCCGACTAATTCACTTAGGCGGGGACTAGCAAGTCGAACGCCTAGAGCGATTTTTAGAACTGTGAATATATTGTACATATGAAATTATCATTAATATGCTACATCAGAACAATTAAATACGGAGTATAGGCTAAATGGTCAAATAGACACTTGTATCGGTCGTGTAAGTTCAATTTAGTCCCTAAACTAAAAAAATGTCCAATTCAGACCCTGAACCGGCAAAAATGCTCCAGATTTTATTTTTTACGGGTAAAGAATCGATGACCCGCCACATCACCGGTCTAGTTTCCACATGTGCATCTCAAGTTGAAACTAAAAGCTCAAATATGCCCTTTTACCCATCACAGTCAATCAGATCATCCCATAAACCATTAAAAAGTGTCAAAATTTTAATCAATTGAAAATAGATAAAGAAACAATAAAAATTAACAAAAAATTAGAAAATTACAAATGTGAAACATAAGTTTAATTTAGACTTTTTTTGTTTTTTTGTAAATATGTAAAAATAGTCATTTTTTAAAATAAACTTAAATTAGTCATATTTTAGTAGAAACCCCAAATTAAATAGACTTTATATGCATACTTTATATCTAGGTTTTTACATCAATATTTTATTTAAGATTTCATTATCATTTTAATGTTTTCTTTTATGTTATTATATGTTATCATTTCGTAGGTTTTGAATTAAAATATATGAAATATATATAAAATAGGAATTCATAATACTTCAAAAAACGTTATAGAATAAAAAGGGATAAGGGTCAAATAGGGCCTCGAATTTGTAAAAAAATGTCAAATGAGGTCATATATAGGATGCTCTGTACGTCCGACGCCATTTGGGGTCGTTCCCGGTTAAATTTTTCGATGCAATTTTTTGAGCATCTTATTCATTAAATCTAGTTTACTCATATCAAATTTGAACTAAAAATTAAATCGGGAAGGCATTCAAATGCATTTTTGAAAATAACTGCGTAGTTAAAAGCGTAGTTATCTTCAAGCATTTATTTGAATGCCTTCTCGATTGATTTTTTAGTTCAAATTTGGTATGACTAAACTAGACTTAATGAATAAGATTCTCAAAAAAATCATCAAAAAATTCCATCAGGAACCGCCCCAAATGGCGTCGGCCGGACATATCATCTTATATTAGACCTTATTTGACATTTTTTTGTAAGTTCGAGGTCCTATCTGACCCTTATCCCAATAAAAATGTAAAAGTTCAAACCGGAAATATTTTGTATAACTTATAGTATAAATTTGATTGTTTCATTTTTCCAATACAAAAAATTTCCGGGTTGAACTTTTACATTTTTTATTCTATAACTTTTTTTGAAGTATTGTAAATTCCTATTTTATATTTCATACGTTTTATTTCAAAACCTACGAAATGATACAATATAATAACATAAAATAAAACATTAAAATAAATATAAAATCTTAAATATAATATTAGCTTAAAAACATAAATGTAAAGTATGAATATATAGTCTATTTAAATTGGAGTTTTTTCTAAAATATGACAAAATTTGAGTTTATTTTCAAAAAATGACTACTTTTACATATTTACAAAACTAACATAAAAAGTCTAAATTAAACTTATGTTTCATATTTATATTTTTTAATTTTTTACATTTATATTTTTTTGTTAATTATTTATTGTTTCTGTTTTTATTTTCGATTTATTATAATTTTGACATTTTTTAATAGTTTAGGGAGTGATTTGATCAATGTGACCGCGGGTTCAGGGGTTTATTTGAGCTTCTAGTTTCAACTTAATATGCACATGTGGCAACCAAACCGGTGATGTTGCGGGTGACCGGTTGTTTACCAATAAAAATGAAAATTGTACCATTTTTTGCGGGTTCGGGTGCGAAATGGATCTTTTTTTAGTTCAGGTGTTGCATTGAGCTTTCATGACCAGTATAGCGGCCTATTTGACTCTTTAGTCTTAAATATATGAATATGGCTAAAAGGTCAAATAGATACATGAACTAACTTAAAGTGTTCAATTAGCCCCTTGTATAGGAGGTTCTGTCTGTCCGTCGCCAATTAGGAAAGTTCCCGGTAGAATTGTTTTATGAAATTTTTTGAGCATCTTCTTCATTAAGTCTAGTTTACTCATACCAAATTTCAGCTAAAAATTCAACCGGGAAGGTAGTCAAATGATTTTTTGAAAATAACTGCGCAGTTAAACAGCGCAGTACATTTTGGAAAATCATTTGATTGCCTTCCCGATTTAATTTTTAGCTGAAATTTGATATGGGTGAACTAGACTTAACGAAGAAGATGCTCAAAAAATTTCATCAAAATATTTTACCGGGAACCGCCCCAATTCGTGATGGTCGGGCAGAACCTCCCATATAAGGGGCTAATTGAACACTTTAAGTTAGTTCATGTACTATTTGACCCTTTAGCCTGTGAATATTTACCTAGTACAAAATGGAGCTCGAGTTTAGCTCGATAGATTTTCAAAATCAATTTGAGCGCTTCGTAAGGTCAAAAAACATAACATGCTCAAATGTAGAAATTTAGTTTATGCTCGTTAACAGATTCATATTCGTATCATTTAATAATTACTTGAATCTTTAATAATCATTAATAAACTTATAAATCACACTAAAACATTTAAATTTTAAGACATATACTCCGTATAATTTATTCCTATAATTTATAAGTGATTGATAAGCTCGAGTCCGGATCGAACTGAACATTACTATGCTCGAACTCGACTTGAAAATAACTATTTGAACTCAAAATCTATCCTATGTTCGAGTTTGGAGCTTGTTAAACTCAAGTCGTTAAATTAGATTTAAAATCAAATTAAAACTCGAGTACTTCAAAAAAGGCCCAGTTCGATAACTAACTCTAAACTAGCTAGATCTTGTGTGTATAGGTATAGCAATAATCTTTTTTATTGCTTAGTTCATTTCACATCTCATTCGTGATCCGCCTTGAAATGTGCTAATTAATACGTAGTATTGGCAATCATGCTTGATAGTAGTATAAAATATCGCCAAAAAAAACTACCATATACGTAGTACATGCAAGTATATAATATACGTATAGTAGTATGTGTTTGTGTGTTTATATATATTGATGATGACAGATCTTAATATACACGGAAAGAATAATTTTAATATTAATATTATATATACTCCTTTCCTTGCATGCACGCATTCATAGTTTCATACTTGGGAAGTTTTTATTATTTGATTAATTTCCATATTAAATTTTTATCCTCTTAATTACACGCGAATCTTTAACCTTTTATATTTTTTTCTTAAAAAACAAACCATCTATTTTCTAATATTTTATTATTTTTGTATCCTATTTAATATCCTCTACTATTTTTTTTTTCAATCTCGACCAACTATTATAGAACTACGAGTCTACGGCCATTAGATTTAGTAGTTTTATTTTTATGGTGCTATTTCCTTTAAATAAAAAACGTACATCTATCATATTCAATTATTAATGATTCGGTATTAATTTACAACTTTCTTGTATTTTATAACATAGGCAACAATCATAATAATCGACTCTACATATTTCCACTTTAACTAATTATTAGTTTATTACTCTGAGCTATTGAATTTAGTATACTATGGCTACGTTTTTTTTACGCACGTCCAGTTAACTTCTAAAACAATTAGATATTCATTTTGAAGAAGAGCTGTTTATTGTTATTGACTTTATTGTTTACCACAAGGAAAGACATTGATGATGCCGCGGTCAACGGGCGTAATTAGTAAACGTATGGTAACTAATTAAGCTTCAAAAGAAAACGGACACTATAAATAATCTGATGGATTAAGCATCATTTGGGGCAAATTGCCATTATAGTTGAGGTTAAATTCATTTTAGGTTGAACCCTAATGAGAATCTGAAGGGTTCAACCGTAAACTAGAGCATTAATCAAAGTGAGGGTGACAAACATAACCTTAGCTTAAAATAATGGCGAGGTTCTATTTCAATTATTGTGCCTTATTGTTTGTTGCCCTTACTTCAATAATTGTCCCTTCAATTTTGGGTCACATTGGTGAGTTCGATGAGGTGTGGCGTAGGCGTGCGGCTGAAGCTTGGGAGAATGCCCTAAAGACATATGAGCCCGACCCTTATAATGTAACCGCGGCTTTCAATAGCCATGTTCAAAAGTATGAACTTTTGATTGATTATTTTGGTTTTTCTATGTTTTTTTTGTGTGTTTGTACTTTGGATATATGTTCCGGTTCCTTATACTGCCTTAGCTCGGGGCCACGTTAGACCCCGACCTACCCCTAATATTAATGACCTACCCCTCATATTCACCCATTCATATTTATGGGTGAAAAAATATATGTACTCATATTCACCCTAATATTCATATATGAGCTTTAATTTGATTGATCGATTGATTAGGACATTATCGGAACATGGTGCGAAGAAGATGAACAAAAGCACAAGAAGGGAATTAGGAATAAAAAAGTACACGGGCCCATGCAACGCAACAAACCCCATCGACCGTTGCTGGCGTTGTGACCCTAAATGGGAAACCAACCGGAAGAGATTGGCCGATTGCGGGCTAGGCTTCGGCCGTAAAGCCGTTGGTGGCAAGAACGGTGGATTTTACGTCGTCACGGACAGCTCAGACAATCCGTTGAACCCCAAACCGGGGACTCTCCGCCACGCGGTGATCCGAAAGGAACCGTTGTGGATCATCTTTGCACGGAGCATGAACATCAGGCTCGAGCAAGAGCTGATCATGCAAGGTGACAAGACGATCGACGGCCGTGGGGTCCAGGTGCACATCACCGGTGGGGCCGGGATCACCCTCCAATTCATCAAGAACGTCATCATCCATGGGATATATGTCCACAACATCGTCCAAGGTAGTGGGGGACTCGTTAGAGATTCTGTTGACCATTATGGGATCCGAACCAGGAGTGATGGTGATGGTATCTCCATATTTGGGTCTTCGGATATTTGGATTGACCATGTCTCCATGAAGAATTGTTATGATGGTCTTATTGATGCCATTGAAGGATCCACGGGTATCACTATTTCCAATAGCCACTTCACTGATCATAATGAGGTACGTTTATCATGTGCTATATTTGGTCCATTTATTATGTGCTATATTTGACTTTTTGGTCAAAAGTGTTAGACTTTGACCAATGTTCTTTTGAAGTAAGTTGACCAATTTTTTAATCAATACATTTTCAATTTTGTAAGAGTAGTTTTAGCAAACATTTGTGTATAACTTTGACATTTTAATTTTTGTAAAAACTTACGTACAATTGGTCAGAATTTAACAAGAAGTGTGTATTTCTCATTTCTTAACCATATACTCCGTAATTCAATATGAATGGTTTAATTTATCATCATTTGTACAAATGGAAAGCTTAAATAATTGTAATTATTTATCTTGAATTGAAGGTGATGTTATTTGGGGCAAATGACAATTCAAAGAAAGATGAGATTATGCAAATCACACTTGCTTTCAACCACTTTGGGAAGAGATTAGTGCAAAGAATGCCAAGATGTCGATTTGGGTATATTCATGTTGTCAACAATGATTACACTCATTGGAACATGTACGCCATTGGAGGGAGTGCTAACCCCACCATCATTAGTCAGGGCAACCGGTTCATTGCTCCTCCTGATATGTTCAAGAAAGAGGTATGTAATTAATCAATCCAATAATTAGTACTACGTGCTTGTAAAAACTCCCTGTTAATTAATTATTAAATTCATCTTGACCTAAAAACATGTAATAAAATAAGTTTAGTTAGCTAATAACTTTTACTACTAAATTATTATTATGATTAAAAAAAATTGCACGCTTAGAAACAAGACTAAAATTTTAGTATTTGAAAAAAATTGAAACTAGAAACGATTAACAAAAATTATAGAATAAAAATGTGTTTTTAGACAAGTATTGCGTGCTCCGTGTTAATTACGCATCAAATAATTCTATATTGGATGTACTATATTGAGAGAAAAAAAAGAAATGAAGATACTAAAATAAAGATGGTTGACAAGAAACTCATCTATATATATCCTATCCTCCGTTCTTTAATTCTTGCAACACTTTGACTTTTACGTTTGCCAAAGCACAACTTTGACTCTAATTACTCCGTATATTTAATTATGTACTTCGTATTAGTAAACATTATAAAAAGTTGATATTTTCGAAATTCACATTGATAGGAATTCAATAACATTTTATACGAAATAATTTGATTATGTGTATTAGTACAAAATCGTGATCAAAGTAAGGTCTGTGAATAGTGCAAAAGTCACAAAGTTACAAGAATTAAAGAACGAAGGAAGTATATTTAATTATGTACTTCGTATTGACCATGACTGATTGTGATAATAATTTATTTCTTATCGTATTTTTATCCACAAATTTTATTGTGGTAATGTTTTTAAGAAATACCTCACAAACAATATTCGTTTAACGCGCTACATATAGTACGTACCGCATGCATGTAATTTGTTTCGTTTGCTGATTTGATAAACGTACGTAGTATATATACCACGTATATACGTAATATTATGGACTGTTATATTTATTGCTAGAATATTTTATTATTATTAATTAGCATATTATACGGCATATTACATTTATGTTAGTACCTTTATTAAGCATATGCGTGTTGACTATACGGGTATATATAGGATGTTTTTCTTTAGAACGTGTTTTTAGTGTCAGATCAGACTAGACCAGATCAGACCAAGCTTAAATAGACCAGATCAGATCAGATTTAGATATATAACTATAAAATATACAGAGCCTAGATGTTTATCAGACCAGTTCAGATCAGGTCAAACTTAAACAGATCAGACCAGATTTGGATATATAACTATAAATATAACATTCCATATTTATAGGGAGTAAATGTTTTGAATGTGGGCATGGATGTGTTTGTGTAGGTTACTCATAGAGCAGCCGGGAGTGAGGAAGAATGGAAGCAATGGGTATGGAGGTCAGAAGGAGATATATTCATGAATGGGGCTTTCTTTGTCCAGTCTGGAGATCCAACTTATACGTCAAAACAAAACAATTTACATTATGATGGAATAAAGGCATTCAAGGGGGAGGAAGTGACTTGGCTTACTCGTTTTGCAGGGGCACTGGCTTGCAAAATAGGATTTCCCTGTTAAATAATTAACTAGATTGTATTTTCTACAAATTAATCTTTCTTATTGCCTGTCTCTATATGTGTTTTTTGCTAATGTTGTGCCATTATTATTGTGCCAATATAATGTCCCAAATTTGTTAGGCATGAACGAAGTTTTGAGACTTCTTTTATTCCCCATGAAATGAAAATATCAAAAGAGAACGAACTTTTGCTTTATTTACGGAGTGCTTTGTTTGCATCGACATTTCAGCTGAAAATGACGGTTTAACCACTTTTAGCGTTTTCAATAAGTAAAAAAGTTGTTTCGTAAATAGCTGTTCGGCAGTAGCATTTTTGGACGAAAACACCGAAATGGAAATGTGCTAATACGAGAGTTTTGTGTTGACGTTTTGAATAATGACATTTTCTATTAATTTTATGGCCAAACATCTCAATTATCAAACATGTTCTGACAATCCGCAAACTTATCCCACTAGTCATACCCTATGACTGAATCCACTATTAACAACTTACTAACATAATTTGCTAACCGTTGAATACCAAATACGCCCAATATGATGTTGATCATATATAACTTTCGTATTTTATAGCACTTATTTATAATGCAACTCAATATGATGTTGATCATATATAACTTCCATATATCATAGCGCTTACTTAAGATGTTTTCTTTTGTACTGAAATTTGTTGGTTTGGTTTAGTATAGTCTGATCTGGTCTGGGACTGAAAACAGTCCAAAGAAAACATCCTTATAATGCAACTCTACCGTTTGGTCCATTTCATTTTATAGTTTATTTACTCTGTCACTGGCTCCCAATTCTAAATTGCAAGACACGTTTATATGATTTTAAAAAAATAGAGATGCGCTTTTAAGAAGTAAAAAAAAGAGTATAATTCCCTGGGAAAAAGTAAGATGATTTATAAATGAATAGGGTGAGAAAAGTAAAAAGTTAAACAATTCAATTTAAGAAATGGTTAATAGGACAAACCCAGAAAAATAAAGTCTCTTACAAAACCGCGCGGACAGTATTTAGAATAAAACTAAAAAACTGTGTCAAAAATGTGACCAACATCACAATTAAACACTGCAGTGCAAGTGATTCCGGTCAAAGTGATTCTGCCACCACAATGACCCGCCGCCACAATGACTTCGCCGTCACAGTGACTCCGATCATAGTGACTCCAGTCACTGTGATTACCTGAATACAACCACAGTAACTACCCACCCATCAGCCACAGTGACTCCAGTCACTGTGACTGCCGGCCCACCGGCCATAGTTACTCAGCCATAGTGACACGTACGCCACACTGACGCCACCACCGCCCTAACTCAACTCCCCAACCCACAACCCCCTCCCAGTCCCAGCCACCTCCCCATCCCCCTCTCAGCCCTCAACCACCTTCCCAGCCCCCAACCACCTCCCCAGTCTCCTCCACGTCTCTGCACAAGTCTTTCTTCGTCTTCGACCCATACCAGCATCATCACCCACCAGCATCTATCCCCAACCCCCAAGGAGTAGGAGGAGGATACAAAATGTTGTCTTCGTCTACTTCTCCTCCTCCTCCTTCTTCTTCTTCTTCTTCTTCTTCTTCTTCTTCTCCTTTGATAAAAATGTTACCAATATGAATGATCCATACAAAACAAGGTTATCTAATCGAGTAAAATTCTCTCTTTGGCTCACTTTTTTCTTTCAAAACTCATTTCTCAAGCGATTTGAAAATATTGATTTGCGGTGAATATGATGAATCGACTGCGAAAACCTTATGATAATATTAATTTATTTCTTCTTATTCCAAAACATACTTTGTACCACATAGGATTCGTAACTCCCTTTCAAACTCTTCTCCCTATTCTTCCACGTCGATCTTCCCCATCATGTTTAGGTTTCAAGATACCCTAATTGAACTGTTTGGTTCACATAACTAAAATCTAGATAGCTGACGAGCACTTTGTCACGGTGCGTCAAAATAATTTCAATACTAAACACTTATACGTAGTATAGCGTAGTAGAGTTTGTATCCACAGGGAAAGGAATAATTCTCTTTTTATGAAACTTAGTAAATAAAGGGGGGATTTGGATTGAGTGATTTAATTTAATTAAAAATTAAAATGAACGACCTATATGAGATTTAAGTCAAAGATAAAAAGGACTTGGCATTGCTACTTTCCATTTGTTGATATATTTAGTCGATCATTGTTATATCTATAACTTATTCCCTCTCGAATACTCAATCGGGGAGTATATCCACTTCATCGAGGGTAGTTATTAACAACGACCGTTCATTAATAACCCTTACTATTAATCAAATATAGAACAACGCCTTATACCGATTTAATAGTAGCATTTAATCTTTCTAACTCCTTGATGAAATCAATTGAGATTGATAACCTCAACACAAGCGGTTTCGGTTTAACCAACAAAATTCATCCCTCTTAAGTTTATTAACCACGACCGTGCATTAATAAACCGAAGTTACTTACTTGTGAAACCACCAACGATTAACCATCGGTTCGTTGATCGTTTCTAGTAGTGATTAATGTCGGAACGTTAACTAATCGTCACTTAGCAACCCTCCAACATTAATATAGAATGAGATTAAGGGAAGAATTAATAATCAAGAGAAGAAGTTAAGAAAATAACTCACAACTTTAATAATCAACAAGCTTCAAGAGCAAAACCAAGAATGGGAGTTTAGCTCCTCATTTGGAGGCTAAACATAGCTAGAAAAATATAAAGAAATGCTATTCTAAACTGAGCTAAAGAGAATGGAAGAAGGGATCATGAAAAGTGAAGGAAAATGGGGTTATTTATAGGTGTTTTCAATACCTAATGTCGGATACCCGGCCGGGTATTTTGACATACCCGACCGGGTATTTACCAAATCAAATATTTTCCCATGTTTTTGTGTCTTCTGCACGTTCTTTGGTCCGAAATCACTTCATACCCGACCGGGTATATGGAATACCCGACCGGGTATTTGCTAGTTTTGCAGCAGTTTCCTTTGTCACTTCATACCCGGTCGGGTGAAGTCCACACCCGACCGGGTTTTGCACAAAACTCAGGTTTCTTCATCCTTTTTGCTTCCAAACCTATCCTAAACTTATAGCCAAACTAACTACAACTCACAACAAACAATAAAAATGCTAGAAATACGATTACAATCAAATGCAAACTAACAACTATAAACTTGCACAAAACTAGTAAATAAACATTACAATCAATAATAAAAATGTATACTTAGGCACTAACAACTAGTGTCTATCAAACACCCCCACACTTGAACTTTTACTCGTCTCGAGTAAATTAAAACATGTCCATGAAATTTTCAAAAACCACAAGAGTAGCAGAACAACCATCCAACATTTTCTTTTTTTTTTTTATTATCTTCTTGCATAAATAGATATTTTTCTCTCATTCTCTCATTTTGCCTAGGAGCTTTTTTCAGGTTTTCATCCTAGCCTCTCTTTTTATTTTTTGTTTCTCACAACTCACTCATTTTAGCCACTTTTGCTTAGATTGCCCATTTTTTGGGGGGTTTTCAACCTAACTAGCATTTTTTTTCTTTTATTGTTTTTTTTTGTTTTTTTTTTGAAGAAAAATAATGCAAGTTACAATGTTAAAAAAAATGAGTACATACCAAATGAGTGTCTCCCCTACACTTTTTTCGAAACACTGTCCCTAGTGTTCGGCACCATGATCGTCGTCGTACCCCCTATAACCACCATCGCCACCAAGACTATGTTCACCGGAGCTAGAAACTCCCAATCACCCTAATATGAGGGATAATACCACGTCGGTTGTTGTACTAGGTGGGCATGTTGGAGAAGTACCCTTGGTGGTTGAAGATATGTGTTCTTTTTGGTGCTTTTTTTGTTTTTTTTTTTGAGTGAATTCCAAAGTTGAGCTTGGGGGGTTAAGGAATTCGGTTTGTAGGGTATTTGGGAAATTTGGTGGGTTTTGTGTGTGTGGGTTTGGAAAGTAGGGTGAGGAGAAAAAGAAATGACATTTTGTTTTGGAGGTTTTGGGGTTGGAGAGGATGATGTGGATAAGAAGAATGTGGGGTTAATTTGGATGTTTTGGTTGAGATTGGAGTGGTTTGAAGTTTGGGTGATTGTCAATGGAGGTTGAGGGTTTGAGTTTGGGAGATTAGGGAAGAGAATGGGTGTTTTGTGGGCTGATTTGGGACCAAATCGGACTGAAATCCCGATTACCCGGCCGGGTTTTAGTAATACCCGAATGGGTATGCTGTTTTTCGCTTGGCAGTGGCTGTTTTGGCCAAAAACCCGGCCGGATTTTTGTAATACCCGGTCGGGTATTAGGCCATTTTATATATTTTTTTCGTTTTTTCGTCACCCAGCCGGTTTTAATGTAAAAACCCGAATGGGTATTACTTCCAGAGACTCCCAGAGGCATAAATAAGTGAAAACCCGGCCGGGTTTCAGGCATACCCGGTCTCGGGTTTTAGCTCTTTTTTGGTTTTATAAAAATTTCACCCGTCTGGGGTGTTGCCCGGGTATTCCTTCATTGTTTAGTTACCCAACCGGGTAGGGTATATACCCGGCCGGGTTTGTTGCCATTTTTACTTCAAAATATATATATATTTTTTTTCATTTTTTTTTAAAAATGTTTTTGCACACACACACTCTAAATAAATGAAAATAATCAAAATACAAACTTGGGTTGCCTCCCAAGAAGCGTTTTGTTTAACGTCGTGGCTCGACGATTTTTTTTTCAGTCGTTTAAGTTTGGATCATGATAATCCATCTTCTTTTTATTTTCATTTGTTACACTTTCATAGAAAAGCTCAATTTTCCAACCCATCACTTTGAAAATCTTTCCAGGATCAAATATCCAGATTTCTATTGAACCATGTGGTGAGAGTGAGGGTCCATGATTTTCATTAAGCATGGTCAATGGAAGGTGTTTTGATCCGGGTGGTATAAGAGGGAGTATGAAATATTTGTGTAACTCCACCGTTATTCCTTGCTTATTTGTGAACAAAGAGAAGTCTAAATTATACTCACAATTGGTGAAGATTTCATAGATATCTTTGTCCTTCTCCACCCTTTGTGTTTCCCTTAGAGCCTCGGGAAATGGTGGTATGATCTCAGGAGTGGCCGGTGGTTGAGTTGAGTTTTGAGGTTCCTCCTCCGGTTGAGCTTTCTCCGTAAACTCATCTTCTTCTTCCTCCTCGCCCATGTGGTTCACAATGCTTGGCATTTGTTTCAACTGATTGTCCAAGTTTTGTTCGTTGGACACTGCTTCTTGCGAGCATTGTGACATATTTTGTTGCATATTCGTCACATTGATAGTGAGAGCTCGGATCATGTCTTCGGTGGACATGCTAGAATAAGAACTTGAGTATGGGTTATATGTGTTGGAGAATGAATTATACCTCTCTTGGAAACCAACACCATTTCTTTGTTCAAAGTATTCTTTTTGAAGCTCTAGGCAAAAATCCGTAAGATGCCTGTGTGACATGCAAATGTTGCATGTATGGACATCTTGAGATTTTGAGCATGAAATAAACTCCTTTATTAGAGAAGTCAAGTCGGAAATTTGACTCTCTAGGGATGATGTGTTGGTATCCATATACTCATGAAAGCTCAGAAAATAGAAAAGTAAGATTTTTATTTATTTTTTTTGTTTTTGATTTTTATGAGATAAAATAAAAAGAAAAATAATTGCCTTTCCCCGGCAACGGCGCCAAATTTGACGAGCACTTTGTCACGGTGCGTCAAAATAATTTCAATACTAAACACTTATACGTAGTATAGCGTAGTAGAGTTCGTATCCACAGGGAAAGGAATGATTCTCTTTTTATGAAACTTAGTAAATAAAGGGGGGATTTGGATTGAGTGATTTAATTTAATTAAAAACTAAAATGAACGACCTATATGAGATTTAAGTCAAAGATAAAAAGGACTTGGCATTGTTACTTTCCACTTGTTGATATATTTAGTCGATCATTGTTATATCTATAACTTATTCCCTCTCGAATACTCAATCGGGGAGTATATCCACTTCATCGAGGGTAGTTATTAACAACGACCGTTCATTAATAACCCTTACTATTAATCAAATATAGAACAACGCCTTATACCGATTTAATAGTAGCATTTAATCTTTCTAACTCCTTGATGAAATCAATTGAGATTGATAACCTCAACACAAGCGGTTTCGGTTTAACCAACAAAATTCATCCCTCTTAAGTTTATTAACCACGACCGTGCATTAATAAACCGAAGTTACTTACTTGTGAAACCACCAACGATTAACCATCGGTTCGTTGATCGTTTCTAGTAGTGATTAATGTCGGAACGTTAACTAATCGTCACTTAGCAACCCTCCAACATTAATATAGAATGAGATTAAGGGAAGAATTAATAATCAAGAGAAGAAGTTAAGAAAATAACTCACAACTTTAATAATCAACAAGCTTCAAGAGCAAAACCAAGAATGGGAGTTTAGCTCCTCATTTGGAGGCTAAACATAGCTAGAAAAATATAAAGAAATGCTATTCTAAACTGAGCTAAAGAGAATGGAAGAAGGGATCATGAAAAGTGAAGGAAAATGGGGTTATTTATAGGTGTTTTCAACACCTAATGTCGGATACCCGGCCGGGTATTTTGACATACCCGACCGGGTATTTACCAAATCAAATATTTTCCCATGTTTTTGTGTCTTCTGCACGTTCTTTGGTCCGAAATCACTTCATACCCGACCGGGTATATGGAATACCCGACCGGGTATTTGCTAGTTTTGCAGCAGTTTCCTTTGTCACTTCATACCCGGTCGGGTGAAGTCCACACCCGACCGGGTTTTGCACAAAACTCAGGTTTCTTCATCCTTTTTGCTTCCAAACCTATCCTAAACTTATAGCCAAACTAACTACAACTTACAACAAACAATAAAAATGCTAGAAATATGATTACAATCAAATGCAAACTAACAACTATAAACTTGCACAAAACTAGTAAATAAACATTACAATCAATAATAAAAATGTATACTGAGGCACTAACAACTAGTGCCTATCAATAGCTGCTCTAGGGTCAGAATGTAACCAAGCCTCTGCCTTCTGAGGATCGAGGAGTTCGAGAAGAAAAAAAGAATCTCTCCTTAGCGCAAAGCAGTGGTCTAATGCATGCTTATTTTTCAAATCGATGGGATTAAAAGGCTTAGGTTCACGACGATGGTGGTCCTAGAAAGTCTAGGTTTTCGGCGGGCGGCGCTATAGCTTTCTTGTCGCTTCAGTGTCCCGGAGTTTTGCTAGTTTTCCTCATCTGGAGCACAGGGTGGGCGTGGGAGCACTCGGGATCGGAGGGTCTTGGCGAATCCCAATTGCAGCACAGGGGAGATGATAGGGATCTGAAGATTGTTCGCGTTTGGACTGGTTTGCTGGTGCGGTATGTTGGCCATGAGATGGAGGCAAATCATGGGCAGATCAGGGTGTTGAAGGAAGAAGATGAAGGAATGAAGATCCACCCCCTCCTGAACCGCCGCCATGCTGGAAATGGGTGATTAGGGTTCGGAACACCGCGTTGGAAGATTGGGTTCAGCGGCTCAATAAGTTCATCCTGCTTAAATTCGTTGTCCACATTTTTAGTCTGTTTTCGAAGAATTTCGTTGCTATCGTTTTGCTTTTGGTATTTGCTTATGGTAATAGGGGTTTTACATTGATCGAGGGTTCGGCTAGATTTGATATTGTTAGTGGGGGACGGATCTATTTTTTCAGCAATAGCTACATTAAGCCATCTGGTGGTTAGCGATTCGTATTGCTCCTTTAGGGGTGATCGTCTCTATGTCTAATCGTATGACTAAAAGTAGTGGTTGAAAGGTGAAGGTTGTTGTCAGTTCTTGTCATTTTGAGATTGTTGTAACGATCATGATTCTAATGATTTCAATATAGTCATTTCTTTTCAAAAAAATCTCTTTCGTTTAATTAAAAATTTGTTTGTGCATTATGTCTATACTATTTATATTCATTTACACAGTAACTAATAATATTAACAAATACGGAGTAATACTTTATTTCATATGAGTATGACTTAATTTATGTCTCGTTCATCGCACGAGTGGGAATCTAGTTATATTAAAAGAGGAAACACGAAAGGTGAGAAACAAATTATTGGAGTCAGGGGCGGAGGAAGGGGGTGTGGGGCCCTGGGCATTTTTTTTTTGTATTACACATAAGAAAACCAAAAAATGGAATTGGCCCAGTGCAAAATAAAATCTGCCCCATTGCCAAATAAAATGTGGCCCAGTTCAAAATAAAATTTGGCCCGTTGCAAAAAAAGGTCCATAGCTGATCTTCAAAGAAAAAAGCAATGGGTTGACTGTTGACCTCAAGCGCAGGCTCGCTGCAGCCACCACGCCAGCAGAGGTCGATGAATTAGACGCACGAAGCAGCCCGTAGCGCAGGACTCCACAGACCGCCACACCGCTCGCTGCTCGCATCGCCGGACGCCGCAGGCCCGCTCGCAGCTCGCAAGTTCCGCCGCGCACATCGCCGGAGGCCGCACGCCCTGACGCCCCCTTTCTGGAACTGTGCCGCTGGGCCGCTCATGTTCGCTTCTTCTCTCGATTGAGGTTAGTTCCTCTATTTTTTTAACAATTTATATCATAATTCAAGTATTGTATTTGTTGTTTTAGGTTGTGTTAGTGATTTAGTGTGTTATTTAATTCATTTGTGTAATTGTGTGCTTTCAATTGTGAAATGGAAAATTTGGAATGCCAAGATGGTGTTTGGATTTGATTCTTAAAACTGATTCTGATCCTTCAGGAAGCAGAAGAAGAAGTTGCATTGTTTGGGTGAAAGTGCAAGTGATTCTTATGCTCTAATTTACTCCTAGAATCGGTTTTTTTTAGAAGTTGGGGGTCACCAGCTTCTGAAAACTTATTCTGATTCTCCTTCTTCTTTAAAAAAGAAGCAAAAGCAGAATCAGTTCCAAACACCCCCAAGTTTGATTTGTGAATTTTTTAAAATATTACTCCGTAATAATTTAATATGAATTATGTGAATTAAAATAAAATATTGATTAGTTTTTTGCTAATTTTAGTAGGGTATGGCTACTCAATCTACTTCCACATAGGCAAAAACGACATTGCTTTCCTTTTATAAGCCTAGCACAAGCACACAAAATAGACAAGAGTTAAATGTCTCAATTGAAACTCCAAATATCTCATCCGCTCCATAGAAAGTAGTTTCTGATGCACTTGTAATTGAGCAGCAGAGCAGGATCAGGAAAACGAAAAAAGAGAAGTGATTGGCCGCTAGAGAAAAGAGATTAAATTAGACGATCTTATTTGATGTTTGGACCTTCTCAACCGAAACTGAACTTTTACAAAGGCCGAGAATACAAAGATAAGATGCATCGTTTTCAATCCATTTGGTTCAATGAGTTTAATTGGTTGGAATACTCTCCAACAACACATAAGGCATATTGTTCTCCATGCTTTCTCTTCAGTGATGTTGTGCATTCCGCCATTCCTCTTGTGTTTCGGCTTTAGTGACTTTTGGTTTTGATAGTTGGAATTTGGAAACGAGTTCATCAGGTTAAAGAATGCGTGTTTCTTATGCATCTTGGTTCATCATCTTCATCACCTTATGCATCTTGGTTTTGATAGTTGAACACGTTAATGTCGTGTTCAGTTAATGTTTTAGTTTCAATATTGCATGTCCTGTTTAAAAATATTATTATGAATTCTAATGGATTTTAATCATTATGTTCACACTATTTACGCTTTTAAAATTTTTATATAATGTTTTTAGTTTATAGTCGGCCCCCTGAACTTCCGTTGTGGCTACGCCCCTGATTGGAGTGTATGCCCTTGCTTTTGTGTACAAATATTCAGTGTGTTGTGGAATTACGCTAAGATCAGGGGCATGTTGTGCTTCATCAGTAAAACCGTCATGATTACAGGTGATGTAAACAGTTTTAGCGGGTTAAATACATACTTAATAAAAGGGTTATCTCTTTTTTGTTGTACTTTCTCGCATATTATAGTATTTTTTCAGTTGATGCCAATATTTTTGACTGGGATAGTGTGTCAAACTTGTAACCTCTACCTCGAGAGTGTCACAATAATACTATAGAACCTTGACAAACATGTTACTCTTAAGCAAGCAGGATCCCATGTATAATTTCAGCATCAACTTAGTCTCCTTACGACAAGCATGCTCTCTTTATTAATATAATAACAACCTTTTCTTTTCATATCAGATCTGTTTCGATCATTCCTGCATCAATATTCATATCATCGTCATCTTATACCGCTAGATCTCTATTAAATCCTATCAGGCCATTAACACTGATGGACTGCCCCTTCCTTTCAGAACACCGTCGGAATCAGAGGGTGAGCCAGTGCCGCCCCCTTCCCCGGAGGTCCTATGGCCTTATATCTTACGTTCCGTGGCGGAAGTAAGCTTCAGTGGTAGCTGGTGCAGAGCAGATCGGCTTGCTCGGCTCGCTTCAGACGGTTCAAATTTTTAACTTACGACGGCGTCGTTTAAGACTTTAAGTTAGTGATAAATAAAATAAAAACTCAGCCACAAGGTCTAAAACGACACTAGATTCGATTCAGCAGTAAAGCCACATTTGAAACAACCCCTGGTTGTTGTACACACTTTTTTGTACACACCAATACACATGTCTATGAAAGACTATGTTTTTGTCTGTGAATTGTCTATTAATAGACAAAACATGTTCACAGACATGTGTACCGGTGTGTACAAAAAATGTATAATTGAAAAAATTGAAACTTAACAATAAAATTCCAGATCTTCGTAAACGAGATTTCTCCAATAACTCATAACCTTTCCACTAGAAACAAATGATTCAGAAGGAAGTTTGGTTTTGTTTGAATTTTTTTTATAAAGCTGTGGTAGATGAAGGAAGATTTCAATGGGAAAGATGGTGGGATAAAAGAAAGTGATTCCTGCGATGCGTTGTTACATTTTAAGTGGTGTTTTGAACATTATAGAGTTAAGACATAACTCATTTGATTTGAAGTAAACATTTGTTTATTAAGCAATTTTAACTAAGCAATAGCTGATTAACGTCAAGGCTTTGGGTTGGATCAGTTTTTTAAAACAGAATCAAGTTTAAAAAAACAGAATTCCCCCGCATTCCTTTGAAGTGATTCTTCATCTTATTGTTATTACTATAATTATTATTACGTATTATTATAAATTTGTTCTTCTTTTGTGCAGTAGGGAAATGGTGTTATGAACCTCTTTTAGAGGCATAGGAAATGTCTTGTAGTATGGGTCTGTCATCTACTCCCCTCACCAAGTATGGCTTATTAGCTCCATTTAAAAGAACCGCTCGTGGTAGACATACGACACCTGTTTCAAGATCTCCATCCAGCCTAATGGTTCGAGCTGTTCAAGAGAATGAAGGGCCTAGACGTTTAGTAGACATCATCCGTCTTCTTCCTGATGTGTCCAAGAATTACTTTAGGAGTCCTTCCCGGAGAGCGCTTTTTGGGGGTATATCTTTGCTGGGAGGTTTTTACGTGGCCCAGACAATCTCACTGTCGTTTGGAGCTTTAGGGGTAAATGATGTGATAGCTGCTGTGGTTTGTGTTCTCATCACGGAGTATGTGACACGGTTCTACTATAGTCAGCCTAAGGTGACTTTCCCGGTGGCCCTTTTGAACAATTTTAAGATGGGGTTTACTTATGGTCTCTTCATAGACGCTTTCAAACTCGCCAGTTGAGTTGATCTTTCTATGCTCCTCTCAAATGATGGACGTGATTTTACGTGTAAGCTCATACTTGTCATTTGTTATTACTGTAATACCTATTGGGCAGGTCTTGTTATTTGTATGCATTGATTATAAAGTCCTTGTTCAGTTTTTTGTGTTTTAATCTACTGTACTTTTAGAACATGTGCATGACATATGGTATGGTCCGTATGGACATGCCGAAGCTACGACCATCCAACTCGGGGAGGTGTCAGTTTACGACTGCATTTGAGCTATCGGGATAGAGCACAATTGATGCTATATACGGAGTACCATTTAGAATTTGTATACTTATTACTAGACTAGATCTCATTAACTTCTTATATGAAAATGATTAAAATGAGTTTGACATGATGCTAAAATGACTTTATTGTCTAGAACAAATGTGTATTTGCAGAATAGTTATTGGTATCGTGTATTTCAAATGTTTTAGCAAATATGATGATTACATGGTACTCTCGAGTTTTGAGCATGAAGTAAATCGAACATGTTTTATCATCGAACAATCACATTAAAAAAATCATCGAATAATCACATTAAAAAAATCATCCAATAATCTAAATACTGGCTTGAAAACAAGGGAGGTGTTTTGTTCGGCTTACTCTTTTTTTTTTTTTGAGAAAACATCTTATTCATATTATTGCTTTTTGTTTATTTTATTTAGACTAGTCATTACCCCGTGCGCTGCACGGGAGTGCAATATGTATCTATATAATAATTAGTAGCAATTAAATAAAAATTTAATATTTTTTTGGATGAAATGTAAATATATATTAACACCCAAGAAAACTATATATCAAAAGGTTCTAGATCTCCCAACTCCCCCCTGTCTAGTGTAAGGATTAGGAGAGGTTTTTGTTCGATCTAAATCGAAATCAAAAGGGGGCCTAAGTATACAATACTAAATGTTCCAAAAGCTCAAAAACCAATCAGTGCTGCAAGAGTGCAAGGTGCACGCACACAGAAACCTAACACCTGGCCAAGAGGAGGTTATAATATACACTCCCCTTTGCCCAAAAATAGCAAAATCATAGGTGATGACGCGGTCTCCCCACGTACACACTAGTTATCCATCAAAACTTGATCATCTCATGCAGGTATATAGAGAAAAGGATCTTATATACCATGTGCTTTATTTTCGCAACGACCTCATCTTCCGTCTTTGTGCTTCCATCAAATCTGAGCGCATTCCTCGTCTGCCATATGTGGTATGCTGCGACACAGAAAGTGAGTCGCATTGCCTTTGCTCTCAAAGTAGATCCTTTGTACCTTTAATATCCATTTGACCGAGCTTTGCAACGTGGTCATTTGGTTCTCCAAGCCCATCCACTCCCTAATTCTTTCCCATATCCTGCACGTGAAGGGGCATAGAAAAAAGAGGTGTGACATTGTCTCCAAGTCACCCTTGCAAAGGTCACATCTATTGACTATATGCATATAGTCGAGGCTATCCTGAGTAGGTAGCCTGTTTCTAAATGCAAGCCAAGTCATGAATGAGAACTTAGGCGGGATATAGGATTTCCAAATGAAACTCATCCACACCCTAACCGTTCCTTTTACTCTCAAAAGATCATAGACTTTGCTTGAAATTAGCTTCCCATTAACGGATCGAGAAGCTAATCCCATTATGGTATCATTTTTATTATTAAAACACCTCATGTTATTATCCCGTTTGGCCGCTAAGTTTTTCATAAAAATCGAATCCCGGCTGTGTGGGATGAATTCCCACACACTTTTACCCTTAAGGTAGATGTCATTTACCCACTTCACCCACATGGTGTCCTTCTTTAAGTGGACGTCCCATAGTGTACGAGATAGAAGGGCTTGATTCCAAACTTTTGCATTATGTATACCAAGACCCCCTCCTCTTTTGGGAGACAATTTGTGACACCGTTCCCAAGCATGTTTACTTTTAGTAAATTATGTAATAAACCTTGAAGGATGAATTATGAATTTACGTGATTGTTAAATTTTATTATTTCTTTTATGTGAATAGTAAATTGCATGTGGGGCCCACAGCGGGAACGGGGACCGTTTTTAGGAGTGCTGATGGACTGAGTAATAGGAGGGGGGAGCAAACTAATGTGCTTGTACGCACAATCAATGAGAGGAAGCCTCCTAGAGACAAAATGAACATGCTCCATGTTCCACTCTTGGCATCTCTTCTAATTGATTGAGAGGAGATGCCTCCCCCTTATCTTGTGTCATTCGGCCAGCACAAAGCAGGAGAAGCCCAAGGAGAAGCAAAGCTCTAGTTGAAGGAAGAGGGAAGCTAGGAAAATCCACAAGAAATAGCTTGAGTTTAAGGTACGAACATAACTATTGTTCTTTAACTAGTTTTATGGTGTATGATTTGTAAGAAATCATATGGTGGATTAAACATGATGTTCTACACGTTTAAAAGTGTGGAATATTGTTATAAAGTGGTGGTAATTAACTTAGAAGGGTTGACAAATCGATAGGAGTCGAAATCGCCGGAAACCGCCACTCCAAAGGAGCTGTTCGTAGTTGCAGACTACGAAAGCCGCCCGGCTTTCGTGAAAGTCGCCCGGCTTTTGTCCAGGCAGTCCAATTTTGCCTTCTTATCGGTTTAAAACGAGGATTTACCGAGGAGCTTAACAAAGGCAACTATTTCAGCACTTCATAAGGTGAGGATGGCTGACTATATTGCTTATAATTAGTGAGTTAATTTCATGAGATTACCTAAGGTAATTAAATGTGTTTTTATGGATTATTAATGATTAATAATGCCTAAGAATGAGAAGACTAATGTCTATAGAAAAAGGAGCATGATATACAAATTTAAGAGTAAATTGTTTATGATCATGTGTTATGAGTATGTTGACTTGAAAGTGGAAATAAATTATGAAACATATGTTAAATATACTTTTTCTTCATATTGGAATATATGAGTGATTAAAAGTGATATTTGAATATTGAGATAAATGATATTTTCAATGGAAAAATCAGTTGGAATTGTCTATATGACTATGAGTTGAGAACTTGGTTTGTTGGAATTAATTTGACTAGTATTAAGATACTAGTTGGACATTAAAATGAAATATTGTTAAGATTGATCCTAAGGTGGGATTGTGGATTGTTATGCCTTAAGTAGTCTTAAGAGATGCTTTAAGGTAGGAAAGTATGAACTCTAAGTTATACTAGGGGTAGGCCTTAAGGGATACCCAAGGTAAAGTAAATAATAAATTGATCCTAGATATAGGATTGGCCTACGGGTGTGTTCGGTAGTCCGTGAGGATAGCCGGTTGAATTATGGAAATAAGTAAGGACCGTGGCCCTTCCCGACTCTAGAGAGCGGGGTTGGATAGCATGGACTTACATCGTGATCACGGGTTAGGGTGGAATCCGAATCGGAGACCTAACTAGGTTCCGGTAGCGGTAACACATAAGATAGGACCCCGAAGGGCCTTACCTTCCTACGGGATGATGGGTATGAGTCCAGGGGCGGGATGTTGGAGTCCGAACCGAGAGCCTCGTGAGGTCTCGGACAGCGGTAGCAAGTCCCGTAGAAATAATAAGACCTGAGGGTTGGGTTGTGCAAATGATAAATGAAAGGAAATATATAAGAAGGGTTGTGTGCCGATAAATAAATGAATTTACTTATTATAAGGATAATAAGTGGAAAATATAAATTATGATTTATATTATGATATCATCCTATTTTGAGGGTCTTGGAAATTAAAACGTTGATTATACTTAGTGTAGTTGTCATTGTACTTGTCAAATGCTTCCAAGTACTGACCTCCCCTTCACGGGGGAGGCCACCTCACAGTTTCAGGTAGGGCTTGAAGGTTGCTACCGGCGCCCGTTGCTCGGGATATTCAGGGGAGAAGACGTGGTTCGTGCTTCTTCTGTTTTCTGATTTCAAAACAATTATAATAATGCTCATGGATACTATTTTGAATAACTATTTGGGGGGCTTGCATGCCCATGTTTACCAAAGTGTGGCCGAGACACTTTTATTAAATGCTTCCGCTGTTTTAAATAAATGTTTTACATTATGTTTGTTTATGGATGTACTATGTGTGAATGGTATTCAAGACGCCTTATATAGTATGGATGAGTTGGACTGTGGTTGACTATTCGTACTGTACGGCGGGTTGTTGACGTGTCCGGGTAGGTCCGGGGTGTGACACAATTGTCGTCCCATGACACTTTCGCGTATTTCCCTCCACATAAAAATATACGACAAATGCATACAGTTCTATCCAAAATAGCTCGAGGTACCGGAAATACTTATAGCCAAAACGATTGGACCCCTTGGATCACTGATCGTATTAGCTCGATCTTCCCGGCGTAAGAAATGGTTTTCATGTTCCAAGCATTCAAGAATTCTAAGATCGTATCAACTAAAGGGGCATATTAGGTCACTGATACTTTAAGCGGGGCAAGGGGAATTCCAAGGTACTTGACAGGGAAATTTCCTTGCCCAAAGTCTACAATGTCCAAAATGTTTTGGAGTTCAAACTCATTCACATCCTCCACAAAGATGTTTGATTTATTGTAATTCACCCTTAGGCCCGATGCGTCCCCAAAATCTTGTAGGGCTTTGACAAGTATTTCAATAGAAAACTTGTCGCCCCTAGAGAACAACATTAGGTCATCCGCATGAGCCAAGTGGGAGATTCGTAATGGTGCACATTTAGGGTGAAAATTAAAATTTGATCCTATTGTTCTCAAGTTGAGTGATCGGGATAAGTACTCAAGGCAAAGGACAAACAATAAAGGAGACATTGGATCTCCTTGTCGAATACCCCTTTTACCTTCAAAAAAACCATATAACGACCCATTCACCGAAACAGAAAAAGATGCAGACGTGACGCATGCCATAATCCATTCAACGAATCTCAAAGGGAAGCCCATGCCCTTGATAACCATATCAAGGAATTCCCACGAAATAGTGTCATAGGCCTTACGTAAATCCACCTTGATCATACATCTCGGTGAGATCCGCTTCCTCATGTATCCTCTAACAAGTTCCTGAGCAAGGAAAATGTTATCAAACATGAAGCGGCCATCAACAAATGCCCCTTGGGCTTGATCAATCACGGCGGGAAGGCACGGTGTGAGTCTCGCCGCTATAATCTTTGTGATAATTTTGTATAACACATTCGTGCAAGAAATGGGTCTATAGTCCAACACTTTTGGGGAATGATTCGTTTTTGGGATAAGTGCTATAACCGTGTGGTCAATTTGTTTGAGCAATTTTCCCGAACGAAAAAATTCCTTAATAGCGTGGACTATGTCATTCCCCATAATCTCCCAATTTGCTTTGAAAAAGGCCAATGAATACCCATTGGGGTCCGGAGCCTTGTCATTGCCAATATCAAATAGAGCGTTTTTAATCTCTATTGATTGAATTGGAGCAACAAGGCTTTCATGAACACTCGGTTCAATGAGGGGGCCCGAGGCCAAGACCATGGAGTCTAGGCCGAGACAGTCAACCTGTGTACCAAATAAATCAATAAAAAATTTACAAACTCATTTTCCACTTGGTCTAAAGACGTAGTGAGCGAGCCATCTTCCAAAGAGATAGAAGAGATTGCATTTCTTGATGCGTTTCTCTTCACAATGGCGTGAAAAATACCTAGTGCCCTTGTCGGCCTCCAAGATGTGAGTAGCTTTCGCCTTTTGATGACAGAAACTTGTTTCCGCTTCGCTAATGAAGGTAGCTCGTTTCCTTGCTTCTTTCAATTGGGATTGAAGTCCCTCATCAAATGAATTTTGGAGCACTAGTTTATTGATTCTCTTGAACTCCTCTTTCGCCACTTTAGCCTTGCTAGAAATATGGCCAAATTCTTTCTCATTTAGCTTCTTTAACGGACCCTTCAACATTTTCAATTTTCTTACCAAAGAGTATTGGGCCGTGCCCTCTACCCTTTGGTCCCATACATGCGCTATAAGGTTAGAAAAATTGCGGTGTTTCAACCACATGTTGAAGAATTTAAATGGCTTTACTTTGTGTGAATGGTTGCGGAGTATAGATGTAACGGAGGCCGTATGATCAAACTCGACTTCCATTTCGTTAAAGTGTGTACAACAAGTAAAGTTATTTTGTCCCCAACCATCATTAATTAACACTCGGTCAAGTTTAGCCCATAGGACACCTTTATTCCACATGTAGAATTCACTCGTAGATGAGGTGTCCATTAGGTTATTCGTGACCTTAAAATCCAACAAGTGTTGCATCATATATGTCGTAGGGGGGAAACTCCCACCCTTTCATTCGGAGCGCAGACACAATTAAAATCACCCACAATTAGCCAAGGTTCGGTAAAACTGCCCCCTAGCGAAGTGAGGTGATCCCATAATGATTTACGCTCCAAAACGGAATATAGAGGATACACAAAAGTAGTAAAGAAAGAAGTTTGCGTAATACGACAAACAATTTTCGTATGCATAAACTGTTTTTCATTTTCTAAAACCACACAATTTATAAAATTAGGGTTCCACATTAGAGTCATGCGACCCCCATTTATTTTTTCAAAATTATTTTCGCACAACCAGCCGGATCATTTGTTAGAAACAAAGTTTGTAAAATTGGCCTTTGTCATTTTCGTTTCTAAAAAGCAACACAAATTCACATTATTTGATTTAATAACACTAGCAATTAAATTATGCTTAGAGGTTTTATTCAAACCTCGTACGTTGCACGTGAGGATCTTAATCATCAAGAGAGATAGAAATCCGAAGTGTAGCCTTCATAGTCCGGCTGGACATCCACCTTTTCCTTACCCCGTGCTTCCTTCCTCTTTCGTCTTTCCATTTCTTTGAGGTATTTTTTGTTGGCATCGGTGTTGGCATCAAAAAAAATAAAAACCTCGTTAGTGAAAAGAACATTATCAAAATCATACCAATCTGTTCGTGAAAATCATATCAAAAAATTAAAAACCTCGTTAGTGAAAAGAACATTATCAAAATCATACCAATAAAAATTTAATATTGTTCTTATTAGGGGTAGGTATGGTTTTGTCGAGGCGGCATGTTACTTTTTTTAGGCGAACAACACATCATGATTATTTATGAGTACTATTGCTTTTTGTTTATGTTATTTAGATTGGATCAGAAAAAATGTGAAAGATTCAGACTAGCTTAGAAAGATCCAAACCAGATCATTGGAATAAACTAAAGGAAAGTTAAACTTCATAAAATATAGGGAAAAAGGACAAATAAACCCTCGAACTAACAAAAAAAGTGCAAATCACCCCCTTTTTAGGAGGCTTTGTCCGGTCATCGCCATTTGGGGCGGTTACCGATGAAAATTGTGCAGTTAAACAACATAGTATATTTCAGAAAATCATTTAACTGCCTTCTCGGTTGAATTTTTAGCTGAAATTTGGTATGAGTAAACTAGACTTAATGAAAAAGATGCTAAAAAACATTCATAAAAAAATTCCACCGGGAACCTTCTCAAATGGGGACGGCTGGACAGAACCTCCTATAAAAGGGGTGATTTGCACTTTTTCGGTTAGTTCGAGGGCTTATTTACACCTTTTCCCTAAAATATAAAAAGCAAATATACTACAACATGGTTAGGCTTGTTTCTTGTGGGCGAGGACGGTCCACCCACATCGGTGGACGGGAAAAGTAGAAAAATGATATTTTTACTTGGACTGAATTTTCTAATATGATGTGATAACGTCTGGTCTGTCTATTAAATAACTATCCAAGTCTAGTCTGATCCGATCTGATTTGGTCTGATCTAGTCTTGTTTGGGATTGAAAACAGTCCAAGTAAAAACATCCAAAGTCAGGTCCACCCACATTAGAGCCTGTTTTATACATATCTATTGTGGAGGTACAAATTTTATGCATCAGGTCGGCCAAACCATCTCGCGGGAAACAACAATGATCCTGTGTCTTCCTCCTTTGTAATGGATTCCATTACATTGTTCAACAATCTTTCATCGCCAATAATAAGCAGTGAGGAAGATCGATGGCTTCATAATCTATCAACAACCCATTACAAAAATGACCTATGCCACTTTAGGGGTGGATCCGTGGATACGGCCGGCAGTCCCTGACTGGATCCGAATCGGGTTCGGTACTGTGCCAAACAGGACTGAAACGGAATCGGGTACGGTATTGTGCCGGACCAAATCGTGTCTAATACTGTGCCAAACGAGATCGAACCGGGTAAAGGGAGGCCTCGGTCCCGATTCTCATTTTGGGTCCCAGATCCACCACTTTTTTTTGCCTTGTAGAAGAAATAATAAATAGAACCGGACTAGGTCCGACCCTGAACCGGACTGCCCAAGGGATTGTAACCGCCCGGAACAATATTTATCCGGTTCGGACCCAGTCTTCCTTACTTTGACATCGAAACCGGTCGGCCCAGGGACCGAAACTGGGTTCACCCCTATGCCTCATTCAAGTTTCAACTACAATTTCTTTCATTCTAGTGAACTCAACTAATTCATAAATCTCATGTGTATTTTTTGGAATTTAAAGGATTAGCTTTTATAATAAAATCGAGAAAAGATACAATATAACATCCAGACAATTATGACAGATCCGATTGTGAGCCCTGAGAATAGACATAGAATCAATCACCTCATACAAAGCAACCTGATTCGCTATACATGAAACGAACAATTTAAAGCCTAAAACAACCAGGACTGAAATAAGTCCAAATTAAATAAAAATAAGTACTGCTCATCAAACAAATGCCATAAGTCCAAATTTCCAAATCAAATCTACTGAAACTTAAATAAAAATAAGTAGTGCTCATGAAAAAATAAAACTGAAATAAAATTTTCATTGCACGGAGGTGTTTCATGAGCCGCCACTTCAGACGGTGTCTTACAAAGTTGTCATTTCAGTTGACGGCTTTTCTTGATCCCAGTTTCGTTAAACGGTATTGTGAAAATTATTATTAATCCAACCTTAATTTGATAATTATTTATTTAATTAACATTAACTAGAAAAAAAGAAAAACTCTAAAGTACTTTTGTTTATGACATTTTTTGGGTTTAGCCGTTTAGGTAGACAGCATGAGCCTCTATTAAAAACCTTTCTTTAAACCCCCAAAACCCTAGAAGCTCCTTGTTCTAGACCCTTCTCTGCCCTCTACTCATATATACGCCTCCATTGCTCTGTGACGGCACCACTGTGCTCTATATCTCTACGTGCTCATCTGTGAATCCCTCTAACTCCCATCAACTTTTAATAAAACTATGTATCGTTTTGCAGCTAATCTTGCCTCCAAGGCCAGGTACAGTTCTCTCGTCAATATACTTTGTTATTACCTTTATGTAATCTGCATTGGCTAAAACATCTAATCTGTTTTGATTACAGGGTCGCTAAGAACAGCACATCACAGGTAGTTTTCTGAATGTGTAGATGTCAGATTTTCATTAATCTCATCCGAAGCTCTATTTCCATTTTCGTTTTATGTATAATGAGATTGTGCTGTTCTCAAAATGCAACTTTGAAATATCCAGGCAAGTGGTAGTTTAATTTGGAGCAGAAATTATGCGGCTAAAGATATTAGATTTGGAGTGGAGGCTCGGGCCTTGATGCTCCAGGGAGTGGAAGAGCTTGCTGATGCCGTGAAAGTCACCATGGGTCCAAAGGTATCGTCATTTCTACAACAAAAATCATAATTGCTATGGGCCATTCATATAGTTGCAGAACCATTTGGTTCGATAAATGCAATGCTCTACTTGCAAATGAATCTTTTATTTGCTTTTTAATGAACCTTTTTAGCATCTACTCTCATGTTTTCAACTTTTAAACATTTGACAGACGAAAGAAAAATGCCCTTATTTGGATTGCAGTTTTACATTTCTACTCTGAAATTAACAGCTTTTTAATGAAACTCTTTGTATTTGATAAACTAAGTAACTCTTAGTATGACAACTACTTTTTAGGTTGCTTAATTTTTATTGATAGGATCTTTTAAGGCAGCACATTAGCATTGGAAGGTTTAGAAAATTTACTTAAAGCTTTGGTTTTGGTTAGCTTGTATATTCTTCAAATCATATTTTTTAACTTTGAAACTAAACACAGTGTGCCCTTTGTCATCCCCATCTCAGTAGAATCAGAACAATGGATAAACTGAAATCTAGTCCTGAAATGTAGTGTAATTCATTCTCTCTCTCTATTAATTGTTCTAGGAGAGAAGGCGAGACACTTCTCTGTTCACTAGTAAAAGTGAGGGGAGTGAAAGTTTGATTTGAATTTATGTACAATATTAATTTGAATACATACTGTAAGATGCTTTACAAGTGTGTGATGTTGGCTTGTTTTATTCTTGTTAAGGGACGCAATGTTGTGATTGAACAAAGTTGGGGTGCACCAAAGGTTACAAAAGATGGTGTTACTGTTGCAAAAAGTGTTGAGTTTAGCCACAGAATAAAGAATGTTGGAGCTAGCCTGGTTAAACAAGTTGCTAATGCAACTAATGATGTTGCTGGTGATGGTGAGCCAATCATAGCTTTCATTTGGCCCTGTCTCTGCTTTGATGTGAATATTGAACTTTATATGGGCTTGATAATTAACATTTACTTTTTTTTTTTGCATTTCCAGGTACTACTTGTGCAACAGTTCTCACACGTGCCATATTTGCTGAAGGTTGCAAGTCAGTTGCTGCTGGTATGAATGCAATGGACCTCAGGCGTGGAATCACCATGGCTGTTGATGCTGTTGTAACAAACCTGAAGAGCAGAACAAGAATGATCAGCACATCTGAGGAAATTGCCCAGGTATATGATAATTTCTGAATGCCGAGTGTGTATTTCATTTTATTCACTTGTTTAAGAATTTAGAAATGATATCAGTTGCTCTATCTCTTGTGTTTATAGGTTGGGACAATTTCTGCAAATGGAGAAAGAGAAATTGGTGAGCTTATTGCAAAGGCCATGGAAAAGGTTGGCAAAGAAGGTGTCATCACAATTCAAGTAAGTGGCAGCGGTGTTTATTTTATATATCATCATTTCCTTTAAAAACAAAAATCTCACACTTGGCACAGTTTTTATAAAACGAGTCCCTGCCACTAGTTATTTTATTACACTATGCAAGCTTTAATCGGAAACAGGTTGTAGTTGATATTAATTCTAATGTCAAATGATTTTTGTACTTCATGGCTCTAGGATAAACACTACTCCTAGATAATGTTTTTTGCTGAGTATCAACAATGCAGTCATTCACTTAGTGTTTTGGGTTGGAAAGTAAATGCATCTCCCAGATAATGTTTTTTGCTTTAGTTTTTGTAATTGCAATGGTACAGTATATTGCCTGGTAAAGAAAGGGTGTGTTTTGGATATGCTTGCAAGTTTTAGTTTTTAGATTATTTATAAGTTAACAATGCATTGCTTCTCATTTCTGTTCTAGGATGGCAAGACATTGTTCAATGAGCTAGAGGTTGTGGAGGGGATGAAACTGGACAGGGGATACATCTCCCCTTATTTCATCACAAATCAGAAGAACCAAAAATGCGTAAGTTGTCATTATTTACCATCATGTGTAGCCTGGTTGGTATTGACAAACACTTGCTTATTTCATGATGCTCTTTTGATTTACAGGAGTTGGATGACCCTCTTATTTTAATCCATGAGAAGAAAATATCAAGCATAAATGCCATTGTGAAGATCTTAGAGCTTGCTTTGAAGGTATTGTCTGTTATACCTTTTCCAATGCAATATACGATAATTCTAATTTTACCATGTGTCTTTTTAAAATATTTGCTACATACTTTTTTTGTACTATTGCAGAAGCAAAGACCACTATTGATTGTAGCTGAAGATGTGGATAGTGATGCACTGGCAACTCTTATCCTCAACAAACTACGTGTTGGAATCAAGGTATTAACTCCCCAAGATTACACTTTAATGATTGTCTGCTCTGGATTTCAACTGTCACAAATTTCATGTTTTGAATGCATACTGCAGGTCTGTGCCATAAAAGCTCCAGGCTTTGGTGAAAACAGGAAGTCTAATCTTCAGGATCTTGCTACTCTCACAGGAGGCCAAGTGAGAGCTGTTCCCATTACTTCCCTTTAATAGTCATATCTGCTTATGGTTCTGCTAAACATGTTTTGCATTATATTAATTAGGTAATAACTGAAGAGCTTGGATTGAACATTGAAAATGTTGATATTGAAGTGCTTGGAACATGTAAAAAGGTATGACTACACGTGGGTTTAATTTCACTTTGCATTCATCTTCTCATTATTCATTCATTAGTACTAATAGAAGCTACTGTTTCAGGTCACCGTGTCAAAAGATGATACAGTCATTCTTGATGGTGCAGGAGAAAAGAAGACAATTGAGGAAAGATGTGAACAGGTTTGCTTTTTTACTTCCTGATTTCAACAGGTCCAATTTTTTTTTTTACTTTATTGAAAACCATTAGTAATATAACCCTTTTGAGGTTTATGTTGGCAGATTCGTTCAACAATAGAATTGAGCACTTCTGATTATGACAAGGAGAAGCTGCAAGAGAGGCTGGCAAAGCTATCTGGTGGTGTGGCCGTATTAAAGGTATGCACATTTAAGCTGTACTATAGTGTGTGAGTATGAATACATGCCCACCACCTTAAGCAACTTCTTTGTATACGTATCATGACTTTTTACTCTGATAAATGTTGCAGATTGGTGGTGCCAGTGAAGCTGAAGTTGGTGAGAAGAAAGATAGGGTTACTGATGCACTAAATGCAACAAAAGCAGCCGTTGAGGAAGGAATTGTCCCTGGCGGTGGTGTTGCTCTTTTGTATGCATCCAAAGAGTTGGACAAATTACCCACAGCCAACTTTGATCAGAAGATTGGTGTTCAGATAATCCAGAACGCATTGAAGGTTTGTTGCGTTTAGGTTTACCTTTATTAATGTCTCAGTCTCATGCATAATGCACCACTGTTGAGAACAGCATTTTTAGGAAGGAGATGCTTTCTAGTATTAGTGCAAGTAGATTTTAAATAGTTGAAATGACATCAAAGGTACCACGAAACAAACCTAGTTTAAAAAGTAACATGGAGAAACAAAGTGTTCAAATTTGCTTGACTAATTATTAAATATATATCCATGTCTGCAATCTAATTTGGTTCTTGTTGATTGGATGCAGACACCAGTGCATACAATTGCCTCTAATGCAGGAGTAGAGGGTGCTGTTGTGGTTGGCAAGTTGCTTGAGCAAGATAACCCTGATCTTGGATATGATGCTGCCAAAGGTATATAACTATATACTATTTATGTGTATATGTATTTGTCACTGTGTGTGTAAAATATATGCTATCGAATTCCACCTACCATCAATTTACTGCTAGAATATCTGGTGGGAGAAACAAGTATGGTATGCATGCAATAAAGATTCATTCTATTTTTGAAATATACACAGGTGAATATGTGGATATGGTGAAGGCTGGGATTATTGACCCATTGAAAGTGATAAGAACAGCTTTGGTTGATGCCGCAAGTGTTTCTTCCCTCTTGACTACCACAGAAGCGGTTGTGGTTGAGCTTCCCAAGGATGAGAAGGAAACTCCAGCCATGGGTGGTGGCGGTGGAATGGGTGGCATGGACTTTTAAATATTGATTGGCCAATCATTTCTTTCAACTCCCCTGTCTGCATACATAAATAAGAGCCATCCATGGTGGCTCTGCCATTTTCTGGGAGGGCATTTATTTGCTGTGATCAATCTAGTGTGCTACTCTGAGACTGTTCAGAAATGAATGGGTGGTTTTGTTAGGTTCAACCAAAGAAATTGTAATTTCACTAGAGGGACACATTTTGAGAATTTATCATTTATGAATGGTAATTTTCTCTTTAAGGCTCCATTGATTTGCAGTGAACATGTTCTAGACATACATACTTTCTGGGTGTTCTTGGAGGCTGCTACAAGTGAATATGTTTTTGAAGTGGAAAATGCTTTTTAACTCTTCGAGACCAACTTTCTGTTTTTGAAAAGGAAGAGTTTTATTTGCGTTTTATTTTTTGTCAGTTTTTTGTGTGATTGAACCTCCTGTAATGTACCAACTACTTAGTGACTAGTGTGGAATGGTTTCAGACCAGTTAGGACTTTAGGACTGGAACTGGCCGGTTCACAGGATCAGGCTGGGCTTGTTTTTTAGTTGGGTTGAAAACTGTTGCCAGACCCTTGATGGATCTTTGACAATTTTTGTGTTTGCTTTTATCACATTGGAGCCTCCAACAAAGCCTCCTAAGATTAGGCATGGATCGGGCCTGGGCCGTGCTCTGGGCTGGACTCCAGTCTGGTTCATAGTGGGCTTTTGTTTCTAATAGTTGGGTCCGGAACCGGCCTGGGTTGGAACCGGGTCCAGTTTGGGTCGGGCCTGGAACTGGCTGGGTAGTGGGCCTGTTCAGGCTGAACTTGTGCTATTTTATTTGGTTTAAATATTAAGTTATGATTAGTTGGACATAAAAAAATTAAAATATATTTATTTGAAATATGTAGTACAATTGAAAATTGAGAAATTTTTTTTGGTTGTTCGGTTGTTTCCTTCGTAAAGTGAATCAATCGAAATTTCTGCCATATTCAGTTGTTTCCTCCATAAAGTGGTGGGGGGTTCGATGCTCATTTCTTGAGTTTTACGTTGGACCTTCAATCAATCGTGGAAGCAAACAAGCGTCTCAAGAGAGTTTGCGCTCAATCTTGTTCTATAATCTGTTAGCACGTTGCTGGCCGCACTAAATTCTTGTTTCACAACAACTGTTGATACTGATATTGCTAGCACTTGCTTAGCCATCTTTGATAAGATCAGAAACGTTCTTTCTTTTTCCTTCCACCAGTGAAAAACGTCAAAATCATCCCTTTCTTCATACTCAACAGGAAATGCTAGATACAAAGAAAGCTCGTTAATCGAGCTTTGTTCAGTAACCAGAGTTGATTTACTTTTTTTCATAAGAGTGCCAAATGAAGATTTCAAAATTGATTTTCCTTTGGATGAAAAAAATGTTCGTGGCGGGCGAGGGGATGCGTTACCAAATTGTGCATGAAACTCATTAAACAATTGATATAATAAATTACATAGGCAATGGACAAAAAAAAGCATAATAGTAATCTAAACATTGCCCCAAAGAATCAAGTCTAAAACGAGTATCAAGAATAAATGCAATACCATATATATGCGGAATATGTGAATAATATTTTAAAAACTTTTGTTTCATGTATTCAAAAAAATAACTAACGTAAGCAGCATCGGCAAATTCACAAAAAGCGCTGGCGAGATTAACAGTTTCAACAAAAAATTGGTTTGCGGTAGGTTTATAAACATGACTAAAAATTTGAGTTGCGTTAATAAAAAACACCAAAACATTCACAAATTTTTCACAAGTGTCAATGTCGGCCGAGTTTATAATATAGTTAGCATATTCTCTTAAAAAAGTAGGAAAATGGTTTTTAAAATCTAATAAGCACCTTTTTTGGGAGGACAATTTTTTTTAAATACTAACCGTTAGGCATGGACCGGGCCTGAACCGGCCGGACCGGGCCTGAACCGGCCGGACCGGTTCACATATTTAATGGCCCGTGCTCGAACCGTCCTATCCAATCGGGCCAGTTCAAAGCCCGAATCGCCTAAACGTCTCCCGGGCCGGGTCAGGCCCGCACAATAGCAGGCCGGGCTGGTTCAGGACCGGGCCGAACCGGTTTGAGCCACCCCTACCTAAGATGGAGGAGTTAGGGTTGGGATTGAAAGAATCCTATATATATTTCCTCTCTAAATCCTAAATATGTCTCATTATTTATACTTTCTTAATTTCTTAGTCTCTCGGGTACATTGTCACATTTCTTAGGCTCTTTATTTTCTTTTTTTTTTACTCTAGGGGGTCTGGGGTAGAGGGGCTTGGAGTAATCAAGACTAATAATCAGGGTTGAAACTCAATCCAATGAGATTAAACCCTTGTGTGCCTAGCAGGTTCCGAACTCGAGATTACTGGATGTGAGGTTACGAGACTTTCTTTAACAACGTATTATCTAGTCTCCCTATCTTGAGAATTTGGTGGTATTCTATGCACAAGGTCTCAGAGTCTCGGTTGCCCACCCCGAGAATTGGTTGGGATTGGAACTGGATCAGGTCCACCCATACTAAATTAAAAAAAAAGATGACACAACATCTCTGAGGGCCCCCAACCCTGACCGGACGGTACGTTGGAAGGATGTAAGTTGGACTATTATCTCAATCTGACAGATAGAGAGTGGGGCTTTATCCCCGGTACTTGCAAAGGCTCTATGCATTTTTAGCATAGTAATCTCTCATTGCCGTTGTCGGGATTCGAAGTCGGGACCTAACCCTTGTGGCACTTCCTCGCTACCAGTTGAGCTACGCACACCGATAGCTAGACTCCTAAATAGGTCATATGGGTGGGCAATAGTTCTGATTTCGTTTAAGATTTTTAAATATCTCAAAATTATTACGCTTATTATGTTCCTTCCCCGTTTATCCTGTAATGATTTAAGATAAACACGACCGGATCTTTACAAAAGTTGCCATCTTCCATTTCATTGCCACGTTTTTAGTTTTTGTTCTATTTGTATTTTAAGCTTAAAATAAATACTCCGTAATGTTATATTCTTTTATTTTTCCAGTTCAAAACTAGACCACGTTGTATCCTACTATCCTCTAATTTATTCATCTTTTAAAATGATTTTATTTACCAATTTAGTGTAGTTTTGTCAATTAATGGAAAGTTTGTAGTTTTTAATTTTTTTAGAGTATATGTCTCGTTATATGATTCGATATTAATGTGAAACAATGTCACATTCAAAAGATGAGTGTGACCGAGATCCGTATGTTGTGTTGGATGTGTGAACATACCAGAAAAAACCGTTTGAGAAATGACATAATCAGACAAAAGATGAGACTAACACCTATAGAAGATAAGATGCAAGAGTCTCGATTGCGTTGGTTTGGTCATGTGCGCAGAAGATTGATTGCCGCGATTGTTAGACGATTTGAGAGGTGGACTGGTGGAGAGAAGAGGCGAACAGGAGAGGGAGAGAAAGACCCAAACAGACTTGGATTAGAATAATCAGAACTGATACGCGTCTTCTTGGGTTTGTATGAAAATATGATTCTGGAGAGAGCAAAGTTGAGAGCGCACATTCATTTCGACGATTGATCTCTTCTCTATCTTTTCTCTCCCCTTTTTCTTTTATCGTTTATCTTCTTTATCGTTCTACTCCCTCCGTCCCATAAAACTTGGTCAATGTTGACTTGCACGTAAATTAATAATGTAAAATTGTGGTTGATATTTCTGCAGAGGAGAGAAATAACGTTAGCCACATATTTGCTACTTTAAATGGAAATGGCAAAGTTTTTCACTTTTTTGAGACGGCCAAAAAAAGAAATTTGACCAAGTTTTATGGGACGGAGGTAGTATATTCTTACGTTATTTTTATCTTCTATTTTTCTTATGCTTTTTTATCTTTTTATCTTTTATCTTTCTTACGTTACTGTTATCTTATGCTATCGTATTTATCTTTATCTTATCCAATTTGTCTTACTTTTTTTTATTCTCATTTCTTCTTTTTTGGCTCTGATATCATTGATCGATTCATATTCACCGACCCCAATATCTTTTTGGATCAAGGCTCGAATGTTGTTGTATTTGTCTCGTTATAAATTTTTAGATTTTAGAAATGAATATTGTTTCTTATTTTATTATTTGGAACAAGAAAGAGAAAAAACATGTCTTCAATTGTTATTATTACTAGTATAAGACTATAATTCACACTTCAAAATGAAAACTGTCTTGAACAACCATGGATCATTTCATCATTTACATTTGGAGTAGTCTTGTAGCCTGGTCAAAAGATGCATACATGGTTATTAAACAACTGATCAGCAAAAAACAAGACTTTTCACTAATTGGAAGTTAATTAACATTTAGTTAAAATTTCAGCGCCCGTCTTCGTAATCAGAATGGTGTGCTCGAATTGTGCCGCGGGGCTTCCATCTGCTGTAAGAGTTGTCCAGTTATCTTCCCAGGTCACACACTCCCTGCTTCCTGATGTCAAAATGGGTTCTGCAACCAAAACAGACCCCAAGTTATAAATCCATCACATTTTAGCTGAATCAATCAAAGTGATAACTATTGAAAATAGTATAAATTTCTGCTTTGTTGAATATCTCCTCAACTCAGAAAAGACATCAACATTTTTAGAACTTTTCTTGAATCTTTCTTTGTTATAAGTTATAACACTACGTATAAAACTCTCAAGTGTATTTTAAAATGATTCACCCAACTTAAATCATTTAATAATAATAATAATAATATTAAGTATTAACAGTCATTTCAGACATCCTGTTTTCTTAATGTTGAAACAGACTTGATGGAAGAGAAAAGACACTTATTTACGTTTTAAGACAATTCCCATTTGATTAAGTTTTCTAAAAAACTTATTTTTGAGTGCCTCTTCAGATAATTCAGACATTTCAACTACCCTCCACGTTATATCTTCAAAATGAATACTGACAGCCTCACCAGTCAGCAGGAAGAAAGGTTGGCTTTTTCCTCAAGACTTATCATGTTCAATGATTGGCTAATCAGATAAGATTCCAAAATCATGTGTGTGAAATCCTTTACAAGTTGCTAGCAACAGGTAAGTGTTCCCATGGAAGGAGACTATCAAGTCAAAGTCATATAAATGCAGCAGAAAAGTTCAATGCAGTATCATATGCATTTGCGACATGCCGACATGTTCATAATTAAAATCCATTAAAAAAGTCAATTCATTTTCATAATTAGTATGGAAATAGCCTGGTGCCAGAAGGCTCCCTGCTTCATGGAGGGTATGGGGAAGGGTTACCCAGATTCCAGGCAATGAAAACAATGAACAAGTGTCTCCATGACATATCAGACACGATAAAGAGTTGTGTTTTTATGCTGCCACTTTTTTAAAATTAAAACAATAGTTAAGATTATGAATTCATGCAGAAAAAAAGAACATAGTACTCCAAATATGAATCTCAGCTCCGCAACAACGAGACTGTTCATCATCATAATATGAATGAACTCACCAATGGTAAATGTTTCCCCCTCGACCATCGAACCAGACTGGTCATTACCTGTAAAAGGGAGAACCATGCATCACAAAATTTTCTAGAAATAATGCCAGATATATGACAAAAAATGCGACTCAATAACTTTTAGTGACTACATTTGTAACCTTAAGTTTTATTTTAGTAATATTTTCAGAAAAATCTCAATATTCTATTCATGCTCAGCCATTCATGCAACAAGAACACAGTTTTTTGGAATCCAAAGTAGACTTGGAGGGAGAATAAGGGGGATATAAAGGTAAATGTCAAAATGAAACAAACCTTGTATTCTGTATTTGGTAGTGTGGGTTTTGATCACGGATGAATATGGAGAGATACAGATATAACTACAAAGGTTATCATTCTATCATCCAGCCTCATACCATATCAAGTCAACTCAAGGCTACTTATTAACACTCCTATAGAATATAGATTTGAGTGAAGTTATTAACTTTAAGCTGCACAGCTTTCACAACTAGAAAGCACTCCAAATAACATTGATGAAAGATTCCATGACTGATAAGATACGATGTCAAGTATGCCATAGTGAATCAAGTTGGAGGTGCTTACGATGATGAAATATGAGTGGTTCGGAATGAAACACGGTCCCGACACCATGTCCAACAAAACGATCCACCACGCTATAACCGAACCTTTCTGCATGTTCACTGAATAATAATCCAGAATAGTATTAGGATCATTCAGTGGAAGTGCACATGAGGAGTCGAACTAAATGTTTCTCATGCTTGGCTTTTATGATCCTAATAGAAAATATTCTACTTTTGGTTTGTAGAGATTGATTTAAATATACTTCTAGTGCACTAGTATGACTGTCTTGTCCCTTTTGGTTCTGAGTACTTAAAGGAGAAAGATCAACCGGAAATTGGGGAGATATGTGATCCTAAGGACTAAAAGTGACAAAAATGTCATAGTAGTGCAACAAAAGTGAAAAATAAAAGTCGAAGATGAAATGTGAAAATGCCGTTTAGTGGAGGGAACTAGAGTGGGAATACTTTCAATGTATTTACATAGGACTTCAAATTACAAATTCACGGTAGAAGGTTTAGAGGAAACATAATATTGAGAAGATAAAAACACCTGATTCTCTTCCCAATTTTCCTAAACAGAGCACCATCTCGGCAAACAGCAATCCCTCTATGCAAGCACTCCTCTGTCACCTGTCATAAAAGAGCTGATTGCAATCACGAGTCATGATCAAAAGGATTGGGAAACAAGCGAAATTCAAAAAGAAGAATAGTGATTTGATAGCAAAACTTTATGGACAAAATATTAATAGCGTGACATAGAGCTTCGACTAATATATCTATCGCTAAAACTTGCAAATGTCACAGTTTACTTTAATATTCTTTCAGTAACCAAAAAGATACCCTCTTCTCAATCCAAAAACATCGTGTTTGTAGATCTTTTTTGTTACGGAAAAAGAGTCTAGCTACAAATGTCTAAACATTCCTTTTAAAATATAATGTTAATTTCATTGAAAGCCAAGTGGCATGCGGTTTTAGTGAATTACTCCAAACAATCTTGGAATAGATTTTAGTGGTATACAAGTGACCATCGCGACTTGTAAAACCTTGTACCATCAATGAATTGATTATTAATACAAAGTTGCACCTTAATGACTCCCTTTTTTGGACAGAGGGAGGATACCTTAACAAGCCGTTTCACGGGCTCACTGACATTGCCACAAAGGAAGGTTTTTGACGTGTCTCCATGATAGCCCTGACAAAGAGACCAAACAGTACGTGCTTTGTCACAAGACATCTATTTGGAACACATAAGGGATCAATAACGTGCATAATTTAGATTACAAAGTCTTACATTCAAGTAAACTGTTACGTCAATGTTTATTATGTCACCATCCTGCATTATCAATAAGTTATCCTTTTTAGTAACAAGAAGTCAATTAAATTAGGAAAACTGGTTATGGATAACTGCCAACCTGTAGCTGCCGGGAGTCTGGTATTCCATGACACATACACTCATTTACTGAAGTACACACGCTTTTAGGAAAACCCCCATAGCCCAGAGGAGAGGGGTAAGCACCAGCGTCAATAATCATTTGGTGAACAGCTTGATCGATTTCATTTGTTGTTACTGATGGCTGATAATATACAAGGCAAATTGTAAGAAACATGGCATGCAAAGGGCTTGAAGCATTGATGGCCATGATGGGTTCAATCAAGAAATGGATCATTTGACAGCAGAGTTCATAGATAAAACATGGGTACAAAAAACAATCAAGGTTGAATCGAATCAATCGATGAATAGGACTAACCATAAAGGCCACATTTTGTTTAAAGGTCTAATAATTACTTTGAGTCTTAACAGGATCTAAGCATCAAAAACGAAATTTAGCAAATATTCACAACAACTTAAATTTTCTTTTGAAAGATAGGGCAAAATAGAGAGAAGAATAATTGCAGTGTATTGTATTCTGGATGAATGCCTTACGCAACCATAAAATACAAGTAGATTTGTTAGCAGAACTACATATAAGAAGTTAGGATTCTTGAAGAAAAGAACAATTTTTTCTTCATAACAGCATGATCCTCTAAACCACACATCTCATTGTGCAAACAACACGTCCACATTCGAGGTATTAGACTCAAGTTTAACATTTCTGTAATAAACATTTTGTGAAAGAAGCTCTCGAATTAAACAATGAGTGTCAATAAATCTCACCCTAACCAATGTTCCTGCATACTCTAGCACCCGGGCAGCAAGCTCACCTGCAGCTCTCATACGAGAAATTCCTTCAGCATCATGAATTTGATGTTCATTCGCGATTTCTGGCAACTCTCTTGAGCCCACGTAAGGAGGCTTCACTATGTGATCAGGAACAAGAAGCTCTGGTGATACCCGTCCTCGCTTCAAAGGAACCCTTCTCTGAGTGCTGTTAGAGCCTTTCAGTTCGCGCTCCCTGATTCAGCATACAATTTTATCAACTTATGTTTTCCCTAATTTCCATATAAATGCAGATCAACACGAAGATCAAATTGTCACACTACAACCAGGCATCCCGTGATAGTAAATGTCAAATAGAAACGAAATAGAAATACCTTTTCATTCTTAGGGCCTCTTCTAATCCAGATAATCTTTTCGCATAAACCACAAATTGCTTTTGGAAGTGGCCAAAGAATGGCATACCGGAGAGGGGGAGTTGGCGGCTGCCGGAAAAAGAAGACGACGATGAGCGGAGATTGACGTGATCATAAAAAATACGCGTTGAAGTTGATAGAGAGGTAGGAGTTGCGGTACGGGTGAGGGAGAGTGAAGTGAGCAGTGCCATTTCCTATTCTCCTCACTTTGCTCGGAGGATGAAGGTGGCCGCCGCCGCGAAAAAAACTCCCCACTTTATTTCATGGGCTTTAGAAGGGAGTTTGACGATTCTATGGTGGGGCCTTCTATGGTTAATTGGCCTGGTAATATTTCCTATGAGCAATAATAGGCCTGGCCTGATCCACAGAACGATCCGATTTTAATGACACCATGGATGTTTTATTTATTAATTGTATTTAAAAAATAAAAAATAAAGACATCAAATACTTTTTTTATCGTCAAAACAAATTTCTTATATAAATATCATTAGGAATCGGATCGTTACAATAAACTCAAAAAGATCAACCCTGACAACAACTATCGTTAACCAATTAACACTATCAACCCTACGATTAGATTCAGAGACGATCACTGAAAGAGCAATATGAATCGCTAACCACCAAGCGGGTGTGACACAGCAGTCACTGGTCATATATAGATCATTATGACGACATAATATCTAACAGAATTGTCAATCATATCTGTAGACTTCAAACCAAAGACATCAACAAAAAACAAAGCAACATAAAACATGACTTCTCAAGAACCCAAACATGTTTTCATCATACATTATGTATTGCTCAAATCTTCGCCTTAACGAGCCAATAGATTGATCTACTATGTAGACAGAGTATTCAACCGTGAACAATTCTTCCAGTGTTATCGTGGATGATACAGAAGATTCTCCAGCACTCTCATCAAATTGCTTTTTTCTACGGATAACACGCCTATGACGAAACACCGGTTCAACTTCCAATTCATTGACTATTTCTTTAGCAGCATGCATAGCACTAGAAAACCCACTTTCTTTGTACTTCTCAAAAAAAGAAATTAGCGCTTTCACTTCAACAATAGCAACATCAAGAAGCATATCTTTTGATTTGCAAACTTTTGCTAACCAAATTCACAGTGTATAATATTTCATACCAAATAACTTTGGATAGAAAATATTTAAAATTACAAAGTTCATTTGTAACTAATGATTTAGCTTCACTTTGTATTTTAGAATCATTGTCTGTCTCTGTCAATTCAAGCAAGACTTCTTGAATGTCATTGATTTGAAATCTTATTGCTTTCACACTTTTCACACGACTTTCTCAACAAGTGTTTGACAAGGTTTTAAGCATTAATCATTTCACATTTTTTTCAAAATTTGCCATCTTTTGGTAGAATTAGCGAAGAGTGTGTAAATTTGTTGCACTTCTTCAAAAAAAAATCCTCACTTTTCTACAACAACTTACAATGTCACACAAAGTCAAATTAAGGTTATGACTATCACAAGGAGTACAAAATGCTCTAGGATTCACATCCAAGGGCCTTTTTTGCACACCTTGATGTGCACCTCTCATATTTGACCCATTGTCATATCCTTGTCCTCTAACATTACCAATATCGAGATCAAGAGACTTCAACACACTTTGTAGCATTTCAAAAAGACCAAGACATGTTGTATCATTCACAACTAACCAAGAATTCCAAGAAAAATTCTTCTACTTTAACCAGATATGTGGTGACATCAACACATCTTAACATCAAAGTCATTTGTTCTTGGTGACTAGCATCAAGAGTACAATCTAATATCACGGAAAAATATTTAGCTTCTTTGATTTTTGCTACGATCCTAGTTTTTTACTCCAGAAGCAAGCATCTCTATCAATTCATTTTGAATCTTATGACTGAGATAATGGTGACGCGTATCCTTATTGTTAATGCGCCGAATAAGTTCTTGAATAACATGATCAAATTCACCCATCTTTTCAATTAATCCCAAGAAATTCTCATTACTATTCTGATGGAGCCGCTCATTTGTTCCACGAAAGGCTAAGTTAAGTTTATATATATTTCACCGTTGCAATTACCCGAAACAACAATTGCCTCCAAATTTTTTTTTCTGTTAGAAGTAGATCATGAGCTACTTTATCAAATTTCTCATTCTTTTTAAACCTCATTCTCAACTTTATCCAAGTCCTCATTGATGTGAGTTTTCTCGCACTTAAAATATGTAGCAGTATAGGGCTAAAGTACGAGTATTGTCTCTACAGGGACGGAAAAAGAGAATTCAGAATTAAATAAATTCAACGACAAAATAAAATAAAATAAAATAAATGCAATTGTGCGAGATTTGAATTGTTGGAAAATTAAAATGTGAATAAACGATTAAAATAAATGGGTTCTTTCTAATTAATGACGATATGGAACAAGGATTGATTCCGGGGTAATCAAATTTCTGGCTGATCAGGCTTAATCACATGAATATTATTTAATTGAGCAACGTTGATCAATACTAAATTCTTACCACTCTCACCACGTAGAGTACAATAATTTAAGGAACGAGACTGATCTCTCATGCGAGAGGATCCTAAATTATTGCCAACATGAGCGAGCGTACGACCCCTTAATCGTTACTAATCTTGTAGTGAACGATTAAGTGTGTGTAAAAGTGTCCCAGAATAAATTAGAGCTCTCTTAATTTATTCTATGTACAATTATAATCCTAGCGGCCGTTCCAGATTACAAAAGATGATAGTTAAATTATTCAAACACAAACTAAATAAAGATCATGCAATTAATCCTTCAAGAATTTAACTCTAGATCATAGTTAACCCCTTCATCAATCTCAAATCCACAATTAAAACTACTCACAATTCATAATTGAAGAATCATCTGAATTGGGAAAGAAAGAATTAATTGTCATTAATTAAAAATATGGAACTTACAAATTATCCCAGGGTCGTGAATAACAAAGTGAAAGAGTACTCAAAATTTCGTTGTAGACCTCTCTCTAAGCTTTGTTCCTTAAAATGGGGATTTAGGGGCTTTATTTATAGAAAACAAACGAAATCGGGCTTGATTAGGACTTCTCGGCGCAGGCACGGCGCACAGGCACGGTGTGCCCATCGTCCGTGCCTCCGGAGCAATAGCGCGTCTCGGTGTCGGGCACAGTGTGCCTCCCTTGCACGGTGTGCCCCGACTGGCAGTAGTTGTGCCTTGTTTCCCAGCTTCCAGGCACGGCGTGCACGATGGCACGCATGGCGCGCCCAACCCCGTCTCTCATCTCCCGCTCACTGCCACGAACGCACGACGTGCTCCCTAGCAGGAACGGCGTGCATGGCCTTTTCTTCATCAAAATCTTCCATTTCTTGCTCTAAATGCTCCCGTTTGCTTCCGTGATCAACCCTAAAGCTCTTTTGTCATCAAATCTTCATCATAAATCTTCCGTTGACCTCTAAAGCTCTCCATTCACTCTCAAATGCGTCTCCACTCATCCCAATTGTTTCTCAAATGCCAGCGCCGGGCTTAAATTCCCTGATTTTGACTCCAAAAATAGCAAACATGAACCAACGCCCGGTAAAATATGACTTGAGCTAATAATGAGACTTATGACACCTTTAAGATAGAAAAACCATCAAAAGTCAATCTCAACACACATCAAATGCGAATCGAAACACGGTTGAGAATCTTCTAGAGAATTTATTCTTAGGACCTTTGACAAAAGTTAAATCTCTTTTAGGACCATTTTCCATTTTTCCGCCAAAATGTCTATCATTTTTGAATCAAAAGAATCCCAATTTCTTGGATCATATATGTCAAACAAAGCAGAATAATTTGGCCTATCATCAAGAATATCATTTCTGATGTCTTCATTATTGGGAATCTCAACACTGTCGTTACTAACGGATTTAGAATTTGGATCATTGGCACAATGATCTGCTATTTCAACAATTTCATCAACATCAATATCCTTTGTGGCCTCTCCAGCTTCTTTGATAATGAATTTACCAAGAGCTCTTTTTTGGGACAAAGTTAATTTTTCAATTCTTCTTTTCTTTTGACGCTTCTCATGTCCAGATTTATACTTCTCTGGAAACATAATTCCTATAATCATGCACATATTTGTAAATTGAAGTTAAAAAAAATTAATTTTGACTTAATAACTTTAAACCCTCCACCTAAAAAGCAATAAGAAATAGCATCTTTGATTCTTCATACATTTACTCCAAATTATTAAACATAAATAGTTTAATTAATTCATCAAACAATTACACAAAATAAAAACCAACAACCTCAATAGTCAATACCTAATTTGTTAAATTTCATACGGAATAATAGATTAGGAACCCTAAAGCATAAATAATAACTAATCTACTATTCTACTAATAATCTAAACATATATGAAATTAAGAAAATCAATTAAAATAGTGAAATAAATTAACTTACCTGAAGTGTCGCAGTGGAGACTTCAGACTTGACGTGCATTGCTGGATCACCTGGATTCTGGACAGTGGACTGGACTGTTGGCATGCGGTGCTAGAGCGCTGGTGCTGAACCGAAGTCCCAAAGAGTCATGGATCGAGAATCAGAGATGGAGTCGACGACTGCTGTCTGTTGTAGTGTTGTGAATATGCGATGATTTAATTTCATCGACACAAGGTTGAAGGTTTCGGTCTTGAACTCTTCGCTCTGGTATGGACACCGAGGCCCGAGTGATCTTTTGGGTTTCTCTATTTTGGACTTGGGCTGCTGCTACTACATAATACTATTACTAATTTTTTTGGGCCTTCTTGTTTTTGAGGCCCTGTGCAGTGGCACAGATTCTACCCCCTGGGACGGCCCTGGCACGCGTAATAATTAAATATATTACACTTTATAAAATTAGCTATGTTTATTATTTTTTTATAGAAATATTAAATCATTGGAAAAGTATTTGTTAAAATTGTTAAAAATCTTTAAACATCAAATTCAATGCAAAACAAAAAACATCTGAATTTGTTAAAATTGTAAAAGTGAAAATGTAGAATAAAGCTAGAAAAATATAATCACCACAAGAAATTGAGTCATGTATAAGTCAATATTTTATACAAGTGCAACAAATAATAAAATATTCCATTAAAAAAGAAATTGACATTCACTTTGACATTTTTCTGAACAATTGGTGTGCTTTCATATTATGAGTCGATTATAAAAATTGAATTATCACTAATGAGGAATGATAGATGAAGTTGGATGTTTTAAATGATATTGCATCCCATTTAGTACTTTCAAAATTGACAAAAAATACTCCATCTATTTCATAAAATGTTTCTCACTTATCATTATGTGA